TGGCAGCTGCTGGCAGCGCAGGGACCTCCCAGAGCCGGCGGGCGTTGCTCCCATGGTGGCAGCAGCCGGCATTAAGAGGCTCATCGGTCACCTCAGACCAGTACAACGAAAACACTGGACCCTGCTACAGCAGCCTAAATGCAGACACTGCCTTCCTCTGCGTCCTAAAGGGAGCTAAAGGCAAATTCTAATTACTCCACAAGTGATCTCTCTACTGTGCAGAGACGCCTTTGGTTTATACTTGTGTGACAGAAATCGATGGAGCACGTTAAAAGACAGAAACAGCAGCCTCAAGGAGTTTAGTATCTGCTACTGCGAAGACAAAACCACCAGCCTGGGACAGGTGGGTCTGCAAGATAAAAGGCAGAGCCTAACTATGAAGTGTTCAATGTCAGAACATTTTGCACACCAGGAGGCTGTTTTAAGTGTGGTGGTATCAAGGCTAGGAGCTCAAGAATTAGGATTTGAGGCTTTGACCCCAACTTGCAAGCCTTCCGTGGCTACAGCAGTGCTCCCTGCGCTACTGCTTGTAGCTGCCATCTGTGCAGCAGCATCAGGCAGGGTGAGTTAAGGACAGTTTCATGCAGATTTTCAGCAGTAACCATCCACGAACAGAGGGCCAAGGAAAAAGCTCACAAATTAAAAGCTGATACCAGAGCCTGTCACGACAGTCTCATCTCCTGGCTGCTTGAAGCCCTTTAGGAGGTCACTCCTGAGGGTGGAGAGATTTACTGTCTCATAGAGCTGAAGTATCCCATGTCCGAGGCTGCACAAGAGGAGAAGAAGGTTGCCTAAAAAGATGCTGGCAATGCTGAAGTAATGAAGAAAGAATTTCTAGTGCTCAGTCTTGGCTGTGGAGTTTAATTTTAACCGTGTTAAAAATAGAAGCATATGATAGGAACCTTAACTAAAAAATTTACAGCTAGAGTATTCATGCTGTGATTTCACTGTGGCCCCTTTCCACTCCACTTCTATGGCGTGGTGTCAGCATACCGCGATGTTCTCGTTTCTGTTCTGAGCACCCCTCTACCTACACACTTTCACAACCACTGACCTTGGCAGCATCTTCTCAGCAATTTATGCCGCGCTTGGGTTTGGTTTTTTTTCCACACAAAGAAAATCAAATTGGGTTTTTCACTCAACTCTTTCTCTCAAACTGCGCGAGGGAGAAGATTGAGCTAGCATCCCACTGGTCTTTTTGCCTGCATCTTTCTCGCGATGCTATTTACAAATACTCCATGGGATTCTGCTTCACGTAATGGCCATAGAAAAACAAGTTACAGCAGGTCAAGATTTATCGACCCAAATGCTTAGGAACTTATATGCACTGGGGTTGGCTGTTGAGTGCAAGTCATTCTTGTCCCCTCAGAAACTGCAAGCTTTCAGCTCATAAACCCGTACAGCGAGAATTCTACTGCTGAACAGTGCAAGGAAGGCAATAAAATACAAATCTGAAGTTATCATAACCTGTGATTTGCTGCCCATTGCGATGTCAAATTTAAACTCCTTCTAGAAGAGCCCCTGGGCCAAGCCAGATCAGTAATTAAGAGATGACTGCAGCAGGGACGCAAACCACTGGGAACGCGCCTTCTCTCCTGACTGTGCTCCAACATCCCCCCCAGGTCAGGCCATGCAGTCTGGATTTTAACTGCAGTTAAGGCAGAGGGACAGAAACACTCAGGGGCTGTCACAAGGTAACAAAGATGGAAAAGAAGGTAGAGTTCAGTGAGCAACGCAGCTCTAAGTGGTCCTAAGGAGAATCACAGAATGGCCTAGGCTGGAAGGGACCTCAGAGATCGTCTAGTCCAACCTCCCTGTCATGGGCAGGGACGCCTCCCAGCTAAAACGCGCTCGCCGCCGTGGCTGTAACCCCCGCCGGTGAAAGCCCAGCCACAACTTCTCTGGACAATTTATTCCAAAGTCTTGCCACCCTCATACTGAAGAATTTCTTTCTAAGATCCAAACTTCTGACTGAATCTTCTCCAAAAAACATCTGGTGGCAGCTGTGCCAAGACCCTGTGTTGCCATGTCCATTGCCTTGTCATGGCAGCCTTTGGGAGAAGGGCCTAGAGCTGGGATCAGTACTTATCGCTGCAGAGGTTGTACTACCTTGAGCTCATCCTAAAATGACCACTTGAAGGCCAACAGTTTCACTCAGGGAACGCCCCCTCCACACACAGGCATGTTGCAGAAACACGCATCCAAAGTTCTCCCGACATACATTCGCATTGACCACAGCTTCATCTAAAGCATTTACACCCACTGAGCAGGCGTAACCTTCGGTGACTTGTCTTTTACCTTCTCATTTCTAAAGCTGGAGAGGCCACATTTTCAGACTGGTCTTGGAGGCCGCTAGGTTTTTCACACTGAAGCTCAAAAAAATAATGTTACGACTCTGGAATTTTACAACAGACACTGGTCAGAGTTTCCAACAGCGAGCTGCCCTTGGACACCGAGAGTTACAAGTCCTTGGCTGAAACTGCAGCAAGGGACACAGACCCAGAGCTGCTCCCTCTCCTTTTGAGGATGAAA